TAATAGCTGTAGTATGAAAGGAGGTAAGTATGTTTTGGAAAATTAAGTAACATATAATGTTATTTTAACATAAAAAAGTTATTATTGATCCTAGTCTTGTGTCAATGTTGCAAGTCTAATATTATTATGTGTTCTTTTATGCAATAAGTTTCAACAAACAACAGTATAAAAATATCTAATTATTAAATATTTATTTTCATGCCTGCTTTCAATCATACTGTGTTCAATACTTCCAGTAAAGTCATAAAGGTGCTTAAAAGAAATGTTTTTAAAATCTCCCACCAGCATCAGATACTGACTGTACAGATAAAACTGTGTTTTAGTCTTAAAGAACAATATTTTATTTTTATTTCCACAAATTTACTGACATGATCCTGATGTATTCTGTTGTTTGTGAAATAGCTTGTGTTATATTTTTACTTTAAAAATTACACATGTATTTAAATCAACTGAATATTCATATTTAACAACAACTATAAAGTATAGGTAATCTGAAGATGTTATAATAGCATTCTACAAATACAGTATACAGTAAGTCTTGAATTGGCAAAAAACTGTAACAATCAATGGTGACCATGCAAGTTCTACACAACCTTTAATAGAGTACTCAAACTTGTTGACAGTAGCTGCAAAGTTGTCTGACCTTCATATTACTCTTACCTAATAAAAATCCTTAATCTGCTGAGTAGTGTTAACCAGGTTCAGTGGACCTTAAACTTCTAAGCAGGTTTACCAGATTCACTGGACATTACACTACTCTTAACCAAATATAGAAGCCCTGAACTAGTAAGTAGTGTTTACACCAACATTTACACTACTCTTATGTAATATAGAAGCCCTGAACTAATAAACAGTAAATAACTGAAATGATATACAATAGCCAAAATGGTGATTGACCTTTTATAGAGCTGTGAATTTATCTACAGCAGTCATCATGGTGACTGTAATAAAACGACCAGTACAGATTACTTGAACTGTTACGCAGGTAGTGGTCCATAGGGTGAATGATGTATACTATAATTACTTAAAAGGCTGTTATTAGTGTACAGCAGCCATCAGTAACCTGGCTATATTAAAATTCTCTTTCATGCAGTATTATTTGAACTTGTATGCAGTGGTCACAAGAGTGGCTGACTTTTATTATTTACCTTTTGCAGGAGACTTGAATCAGGATGTAGTTATCACTAGAATATCCAACTTTTGAATATTTACTACACTTACATTGTATAAAGTTTGAACCAAGTATATCCTTGTCACCAGTGTGACTGAGTTGTAGTAAAGTTACCTTTTACAGAATATTTGAATTAGTACAGTGATAACAAAAGAACCAAACATTACTGTAATTACCTTGTATAAAAGCTTTGAACTGGTGTACAGGAGTCACTAGGGTGACTGAGGAAGAGGTGAACTGAGTTTGATTTCTATCCAGAAAAGATCTCACTGTAAATGTGACTTTCTGACCCTCTAAAAAATTATATTTAAGTAACAGATGTATTACTTTGTACAATTCTCTTAAGTTCATATAACCACAAATACATACATTTTAATTCTACCAAGGAGCTATAAACATGCATAACAATTGTACACATTTTCAACCCATTAATTTAAAATGTAAGTTTAATGTTCTAATTGACTGAAATGAATTATATTATTAATATAAAAAGTGTAGCAGTTGTTTCTCAGTTTAGTCACCCGTTTCAGCCTGCAAACAACAAGCCCAATATATATATATTAGTGTTTATTTACACACAGAAATATTGATTTTGCTGAAAAAAAGTTATGTTACAAAAACAAAAAAGCCAAACAGGTAATGTCTTTGAATTTTATCTTCCAGAACTTTCTTAATGGGGACTTAACTTTTTTAAATTGATTTTTAATTCAAGTCTGGAGATCAGTTTAATGATGATAATGTTAAACCACTGATAAAAAGTATGTATCAAATTCTAACAGGTGAGAATCATATTTATAAACACGTTATTTGAAAAACTTTGACTTAAGTAATTTACAGTAAAAATAGCTTTTGGTGATGTCAAAAGAAAGTTACTTTTGTTGAATTAGTTTACAATAAGTTTAGTTTTTTACCATTTCTAAAAATTTTGTTTATGTAAACGTATTCAACCTTAGATACTTTCCAGCATATTTCAATGCTTTGGACAACTATACATTTGGAGCCATTTTCACATGTATCAGTATTTCAACACACACATAAGGCCTGGTACACATAATACTGAACATTTTGTTTTCCTTCTGCATGAAAGATATATTATTAACTGGGTAATCTATTTACAAATGTAATATTAAATTATCTTCCTTCTGTTATATATTACAACAACAAAGATTACTTGGAAGGACGAAAGAAAATTTTAATTCAGAAGTTACACAAAATACATACTGTGACCAATTCATTATACTTTAAACTTCCCGTAAAATAATAATCTCCTGCAAAATATGTTTTACAAAAGCTAATAAGCTTTATAATGCTACAAAAAATACCAGGTAGAGTGTAAGGAGCCACCCTATAGTTTGAAGAATAAAGATGGACAAAGTCAAACTTTACTCGGGGATTATCCACAGTCCACATGAATTTGATCTGTTGTGATTTTTCAATACAGTCAGGGAAGCTTGCTTCAGCTGACAGAAGAATCCTGATGAAAGTTGGAAACAGTCAAGAACTTTTCATGCTATACCAGGTTCAAACCTTACTACACAGTACATTCACACATAGTAAAAATATCACATGCTCAGCCACAGTGTTCTGTAACTGACTACTAAATCATAAGAGTACTTTTCAATGAGCCATCATTAGTTACATGGAGTTTTGTGGTTTTTAGACTATTTTTATTCTGGTAGTTTTAAACACTTGAAAAAGTAACTCATATGAGAAGTAAAACTAAGAAATATGTTAGAGATCAAAATGATATTCATAAAAAATAACAGTAACAAACACTTACACACACTAACATACTGCTTAAATTGTTACGTGCCTTTAAAACCTTTTTACTACTAGAGGTTTCTTAAAGGGTTTTTACTTGCTAATTGCCAGAGGAGCTTTAGGGAATTGCAGTTATTTAAGTTTTTATTTAAGGGCAATTATCAGTTAAAAACAACAACTAATAATAAGCTACTAATTAAATCAAATTGAATTAAATTTTGATTAAAAAAAGAGTAATAAATGATGCAACAGTCTAGAGACTGTCAAATGGGAACTTTAACCCTACTTTCGTACCCTGGTTTTTTTCTACCCCAAAAATTTTGTGAAACAACTGCACAAGCTGATGGCAGCACTGAGCTCTGTGCTGTTCTTGGTAGCTTCCTAAGATTTCCTAGTATCTCCCATTTCTACCCCAGCTGAAATGAGAGCAACACATCGTTTCTTGTGGCTTGGGGAGCAAAATACCCCACAGTACTAAACCAAGATATGTTTTCCCAGATTACCTATCTCTCTACTATTTGTCATTTATGATACAATAAGAGTTTTTAGAGCTTATATATGTCAAATAAGAAACAATATTTGCTTCAGCATAGATTTTTTGCAGAGTATTAAGTTTTTATGAGAGTAATTTCACAATTTCTTAATTTTTATTACACTGAAGATGGATGGCAAAGTGAAGGCAAGAGAATTAGGAAGATGTTGGCTGAATGTCCCAGTAATAGTTAACATGAGGACAACAGTGAGGGTGAATATGATCAGCTTGAAGACAGTCAGATCACAGTGTTAGCTTAACAGTCATGTTTATATCCAGGTCTTTCAATGTCAAATGATGGCATCAGATACAGAAGAGAGTAAGCAGTTAGGTTAGATTAAGTGTAAGGTATTTTCATTGATGTTGGCCAACAAATGATGTTTTTAGTTCAAAATAATTCATAGGAAGATGTTTAGATAAAAAAAAACCTTACTTTTTTAATCATGTATTTTTTGTAAATAAAGCGAAAACAAGCATCAACATCTGATATTTTCCATTATTCCTTTATTAACACTACCAAAACATAAAACAATGAACAATATTCTATGGAATAATTCATAAGATGTTTACCTTAAATGCACACACAGATAAATTAACAATCTAATAAAACTTAATGCGTTTTTTTGATTAATATTCCTGAAATTACATCAGTCCTAGCATTATACTGAAATATATAT